GCAAGGAGGAGCTATTCCTATTCTTCTTCTGGAAAAACGAAAGAGAGCTTCAAAACAGACTGCAGCGCCATCTGAAGCAAAGAGCATACTTCCTGCGGACACTTTTTTGGCTGAGTGGCCCATCTTGTTATTTACTATCTTTGGCAATACTGAGCACTATTTTAAGTGTGCGACCCGTATAGATCTGCCTCGTGTTTTCTTTTTTTATTTGGTGCTAAATTCGACTGTGATCCTTTCGTTTGATGTCCATAAAATAGCTGTGGTTTAGAATCATTTAAAGGGTGCACAGTTATATTAAGAAGTCTGAAGTCACTGTAGTTTAATTTTCAATTTTTCATTAGTTTCGTTTAGATCTAACCTTGGGAAAGTCCGTCTTCTAAGACACCATTGTAAACAAGTGAGTCTTCCGTTCACAAGGAGTACGTACTGATCCCACATTGACTTGACGACCGATTCTTTTGAGTCCGTTCATCGAATGAGAAACCCAGCTAGTTATGTTATAATTCAAGTCTATGGCTAAGCGACACCTCATTCGGGAAATCCCAGAGCCCCCGAGCTCCAACAAGGAAGAGAAAACACAAGAAGTCTATATAGATCTAATTTAAAAACAAAGCATAACCAATTCACACAATCAGTTAAATAAATTGTTACTGCAATAATTGGTCAATATTTTTCTTCTCTTTGGAAATGATTTTCCAAAAACTGATTCAACGTAGATCTAGTAAAATTGTTTACAAAGTGAATATTTTAGTCTCTTCAGCCTACTTTTGCTAAGACAAGATTTTAATAATTCCTTGAATTTTGATGTATTACGATTTTGATTAGTAATGGTAATTTGCTTTTTAAATGTATTTGTAGTCAAGAAGACTTCTTTTCAATAGTTCTTTCTCAGATTTATAAATAGCTTTGTCTCAATGGCAGATCTTGAATCCGCTTGTTATTCAGTGAGAGAGGATACATACATGTTAAGTGTGCGCAGACGTCCGAGAGAGCTTTTTTTGCCGTGTATTCTATTATCTATTTGTGGTGGCCGAATTTTGCTATGCAATTTAAAGTAAAGGCTTTTCAATAGCTGCATCGATCGACATGCAGTTTTCGCCAAACGATTCTTTAAAATATTCTTCAGATCATGACGCCCTTCGTTTTTTCAGTTTTGAGACAGTTTTGCTGCAAAAGGCTAAATTTTTTTAATTCGCCGATCACTTTTGTAGGCCAACGCTTCTGTCTCTGTAATGTTTGAAAATCCGCCAGGTTTGTTTATTTCAAGTCGAACTTCCGTTCGATACTATCGCGCTCGCGCGTTGTCGCGCAAAACTGAGCACTATTTTAAGTATGCGACCCGTGTAGAGCCTCATGTTTTCTTTTTTTATTTGGTGCTAAATTCGACTGTGATCCTTTCGTTTGATGCCCATCATAGCTTTTCCTGGACTCCTTTGTCTATAATATATTTGGCAACTTGGAAACATATGTGTCACTTTTCTCTCAAGATTTATTTTATTGCTCCATTCCAGTAGAGTGTAAATATAGTAGGCCAATGACTTTCAGTTGATTTTAATGCACCGATCATTCCTTTCATCGAAAGGGGGCCCAGCTTGTTATTTATTATAATTATTATTATTATTATTATTATTATTATTATTATTATTATTATTATTATTATTATTATAAAATATATACTCTGTCACATTTTTAAGTATACACTGTGTTAAAATGAAAATACCTAGTTTCACAATTAGTGCATTTTCTTAAAAATGTCAGAAATACCAATTCAATCAATCTTATAACCGAAAAAAAAAAGCAACAACAATACGGAAATTTAACATAACAGGTTTATTCCCGACTTACAAGAGTGTGGGGGGAGTTCTTGTTCTTGTTCTTGTTCTTGTTTCAGGAAGCAACATCCCTGCACTCCGGACATGTCCATTGATGCTCCGTTGCTCTCTCCAAAATGTTGCCGAGGGTCCTTCTACTGATTGTGCCAGTGCACATCTGGTTGAACGTTCTTCTGTTCTTTCCTGCAAGGATGCCAGATTTTCCGCTTCCTTTTTTTATTCCCAAAAGCATCATCCTCTCCACAGCAGCACTGGCCTCTGCCTCCCTATCTTCCTCCTCAATCAGTTGGCGAGAAAGACATGTGGGGGGAGTCAACGAAAGTAACACGATCAGTAGCAAGTACGGTGGCCTCTGGAATTGATGACGGCCTGACATCTTCGCCTCATGGAATCAGTCAATCGCTGCACTGCCTTTTGGGGGAATGTTATTCTTCTCTTTATGCAATGCTCTCTCAAGTTTAGGAAGTGTCTGAGGCTGGTGTTGTCGCATATTGTTCAACTCATATCTGGTTTGTCTTGCCGTTTTGAAACGATTCCGTAGATGCAATAGGTGTATAAAAAGATCTTCTGTTGCAGTTGTTTTTCTTTTCCAAAGTCGACGAGGTCTACCCGTTTGTGATCCTGTTGTTCTCTCACGATCCATTGTTGCGTACACAGTTCTTTTTGTTACATTAAAATACCTCGCAACAGTGGATACTGAGGCACCCCCGCGAATCATTCCAACAATCCGTTTTTGCACATTTTCTCTGTGGTGTGGCATCATGAAAGGCTGGCAACACAAGTAGTTACAAAAATGACAAAGCTTTGAAGTGTACTTCTTTTTTAAACAAATCATTGCAGTGTCATGAGTTATTCTTTAAAAAACACAAACATGTAACTCGCATGCAGTAACAAAAAATGCTCTCGCATTTAGAAATCTGAAAACAACTCACAAGTAACAGGTATATCACGTAGTCAGTGTGAAAATTTGAAAGTAATTGATGGCACACATTTTCTAAAATTGAGCTTTAAAATTTGCATACTTAAAATGTGACAGAGTATATTTACTGGAGCCTAGATCTATATCAGAAGTTTGGAACTTTGCTAATGGGTGATATGCTTTGCAACTGCACTTTGGTAGTGTGTAAGAGCGAGTGGTAGTTGTTTATTCTTAATGGGATTGCTTAGGCACCGCTGTGTTTGATTGAAACGGATTATGAACAACAATACCGAATAGCAATAACAACAATACTAATAACGATTGACAAGTGCAGCAAAGAAGACAAAGACAGAGCAAAATAACACAACAAAAAGAAGTAAGAAAACAAAGTTTTGAAGAAGTGAATCGATAGGTAAATGGTATATCGATATTTGAGCAAACACAAAAGTTAAGAAGAAAATCTTTTTAAAAAATAATGAAATAATATTATGAGAATATCATTTATAAAAATACAATATATAACAAAACAAAATATTAAAGAGATGAATCGACAGGTAAATATTATGTCCACATTTAAATAGACAAATACGTTTATAGGGAATTCTATGATAAAATAATAATAATGCGAGAATTGACAATCTCTGTTTGCCCAGGTCAATCCTACTGGTCGCAAGAAGAAGTGACGAATGAGGCGAGACGACAGCCTTACTGGTACCGACGTGGACCTAAGGCATCATCCATTGAAGCTACGGCTTTTGGTCTCTTGGTCTTCTTGAAACATGGAGGGACCAACATTGATGCTATCGCTGACTGGCTCGTGGCCCAGAGAAATGCCAACGGGGCTTTCATTGGAGCACTGGTATTTATCATTCTTTTTTTTAGTAGAGGTTTTACAGCGCTCGCAACTGCCTACGGTCATATGAGCGCCAAAGGGTGGATGTCAACAGAGAAGTCCTTACAGGGAATCAGACTTACTCTGCTCACCTCTCTAGCTTCAACAGCACAAAGTCTGCTTCGACTATCAAGGCACCCCGGAAATAGAAAACAAAATGGTGAAATGGTACGAGTTTAACGCCCCTATCAACACTATTAGGTTATTTAAGAGGCGGGACCTCCTAATTTAACGTCCGTCTCTGTTAGGACCGAGCCAAGTGGGAAGTTCGTGTAAAGTGCCTTTCCCAAGGACAGCACGTCCGATCGAGCTGAGGCTCGAACCCCCGAACCCGCAATCTCACCTCGGAAATAGTGGGTCACAGGAGTGTGACAAACATACAAAAGAAGTAGAGGGAAAAACGAACATAGTAAGGATAAGGAAAGAAAAAGCAGTAGTTCCCTGTTGTAGATCAGGCACAGTTATGAGCGTGACATTGATGATTCAGCCCATTTACAATTCTACTGTGCATCAACGAAAAATGTCCCCCTTTGGGAATGGCCTAAAGACACTTCAGTCAGTGGCACCGCCCGGGGAGAGGGGGGGGGGTATTATCGTCTTTGTTTCGTGAGCGTTTTACACTCCTTTCGTAACTATTTAGGGTGTCAGTACACTTTGGTCGTCTACTTGATTGACCACGGTCTTCCTATGCTGTGTCAATAATTATTGGTTAGGGTGAGGTGAGTGTTATGGTTGGGTTGGGGGTTAGGATTTATGCTAGGTTTCGGTTAGACGTAGGGTCAGGGTTAGGGTTAGGGTTAGGGTTAGGGTTAGGGTTAGGGTTAGGGTTATGGTTAGGGTTAAGGTTAGGATTATGGTTAGTGTTAGTGTTAGGGTTAGGGTTAGGGTTAGAGTTAGGGTTGGGGTTAGGGTTAGCTTTAGGGTTAGTGAAAATGTTGTATACTGGTTTCTTGAGCTGAACCGTCAATGTGGAATCAGAACTGTGTTGGGACGTATGCAACCTATATTGTTTTAAAAACACCGTGAAACTGAATACGATTCTCATTCCAGGACAGCACTGCTGCCATTCAGGCCCTGAGCTCCTACAGTTTGTCCAAGCACAACCTAGGCGTGAATCTGCTGTGTAACGTCAGTTCTAGCCGACACAGAACCTACCAGCACTCCTTCAAGTTCACAGACAAGAATGCAACTAACGTGGAGGCGGTCAACGATGTAAACCCTTGCTATATTTGTTGCTGTTGCTATTGTTGTTCTTCTTCTTATTGTTCTGTTACCGTTGTTGTTGTTGTTGTTGATGTTGTTGTCGTTGTTGATGTTGTTGTTGTTGTTGTTGTTGTTGTTGTTGTTGTTGTTTTTGTTGTTGTTTTTCTTTGTTGTTGTAGTTGTTGTTGATGTTGTTGTTTTTGTCGTTGTTGTTGATATTGTTATTGTTGTTTATGCAAGCATTATCTTTTTGTGTATGACGAAAAAGATAAGCAGCAGATGTGTCGTTGTTGTTGTTGTTGTTGTTTTTGTTGTTTTTGTTGTTTTTAATTTTGCGTTTATGTTGTATCGGTAGTTTTTATTACTTTTTTTTACTGCTGGTGTTGTTGTTATTGTTGCGACTATTGATGAGTCTGTTGTTGTAAGACAGATGTACTCTGACTCTGTAGCATCCCAGTAATCTGGGAATTTCGCAGCTCGCTGGAGTGCGCCCCTGAGAGGTCTTTTTTTTCCTTTTCCCCGCTGTTTCTGTCGATTTGACATGCTTGTTGTTCCACATGCTGAATAACCCTTTTGTTTGTTTGAGTAATGATAGTATATTGACACAATAATGGTCATTGAGTATATGAAAAGAGTTCGATAAGATAAGATAAGATAAGATACATCTTTATTGTCCAGATCCTGGCACATTGGTTTGGTGTTCCACCACGTGTACACACACACACACACACACACACACACACACACACACACACACACACGCACACACACACACACACACACACACACACACACACATGCACACACGCGCACACACATGCACACACATGTAGGCCTACAATCACATGCATAATATAAATGAGCAGCAATATAAACAATAATAATCGTAAGCTAGATACACACTCAATGTTATTTTGATGCATGCTCTAAGGTCGTAAGTATACTTATACAAGATGGTTAAGATGGAAGCATTTTGATAGATGATGGTAAAAATGACCTTCTGTATCTTTCTTTGTTACCGATCAGAAGCCTAGGTCTTTTACTTTTGACTGATGTTTTTATTTGAGGGAACAAGGGATGTTGGTTGTCTAAAAAGATGGAATTAATTTTCTTAGTGCAAGCTGTTATATACAATTCATCCAAGTAGGGGAATGAAGATGTTGAAATTTTACATGCTTTCCGTATTAGTCGATTCAATTTTTCTTTATCTTGTTGTCTTGTGTTCCCGGCCCATGCTGTTATACAAAAATTGATCATACTTTCTATGGTTGAATGGTAGAACATGGACATCATTTAATAGTGAGACTGAAACAAGACGAAAAGAATAAAAGGATGACTTACCAGTCGCACCTTCAAACGACACGCATTACTGAGCCGTATGCTTCTACTATAAAACAAAAGTAGGTTTACCCGATCAGGCTGTCAGGAAGCAGGAAAGATTCCTATGTAAATGCCTAAATCGTGTCGATCAAGGATGTGTAGCTTTCTTACCAATCTCGTTTGACCTGTTCTGTATTGGCAAAAGTTCTTTAAAAAGTATTCATGACACAAGTTTTACCTAGGCGGTAGACTCGCATGAAGTAGATTGCTCAAGTACTATTTTCCTCCCTTCAGATCTTGAATTTGTTTACTTACCACTACCTAGAATTGCAAAGTTCTATCTGCTCAGTACCTAGGTATGAGAAAATTGACGTTAAAATTTTGAATTTCACAACATGTCAAGCTGTTCTGAATGCAATTCTTTGAGTATTCTGATAACGACCCCAAATAATCTTACGATTTTGATAGAGAAGGTAGAACGTTTAGTTTTTTACCTCATGGTCTTAGTAAGTAAAAACGGTAAATCAAATGTCAGATAGATCTTTGTAATTCTAAGGTAGTGGTATTCCAAAGTAGAGCAGAGGCGTCGTCAACACATTCCTACAATCTACCCGCCATAATATCTCCACCAGGTTCCGGTCGGGCAGACATTACAGGTATCCACGAAAGGCAAGGGCCTGGGTCAGATGCAGGTCAACCTTGAGTACAATATTCCCCTGGACAAGAACGAAAACTGTGCCTTCAACATCACCATAGAAGTGAAACCCACACGACCGCGATGGATGGAAGACATGAACAGGTTGGTTTTTGTATTTGGGTTTCTAGGTTAAGTTTTAGGCTTTTGGCTACATTTCCTTCATTTGGTTTTGTATATGAAAGTACAATTAGTACAATGATTAAACATATTGAGGGGGCTCTCGTAATCAAGAGGTTAATGCGTTACCTCTCATTCAAAGGTTCCGGGTTCGAATCCGGGTAGTGATGGAAACAATTTCACCTCTAAAATTGTCTCCTTTCACCTCCTTTCCTGCTCTCTAGAAAAGAGTCTGGGTGCATGACTCTTTCTGAAGCCTGTCTACTGCTTCTCCTTTTCTCCTTCTTACTGCTGTCTTTCAGCCACAACCCAGATCTTCTGGTAGGAAAGATCTAGACCTAGCCTTCTCGGACAAGAGCGAAAAATCTCGAAAGGCCTGTGTGCACTTTATAGATTCCTTGGTGGTCTAAAATCGATAAGTGTAGGCTTTGCCGCTACCCGGGTTCGATTCAAAATCCCCAAACAACAGAAAATATTTGATATGTCCTGCGAGCTCATAGGCCCTTATATTATGCAGTTGCGAGCGCCATAAAACGTATTGCAACCGGAAGTAAAATGAAACCTATAAAACCACGTTAGATAGAAGACATGTACAGGTTGGTGTTTGTATTTGGTTTGTAGGTAGGGGTTGGGTTTTTGGCTACATTTTATTTATTTTTGAATTATTA